TCTGTCTGTCTGTCTGTCTGTCTGTCTGTCTCTCTCTCTCTCTCTCTCTCTCTCTCTCTCTCTCTCTCACACACACACACACACACACACACACACACACACACACACACACACGCACGCGCGCGCGCGCGACACTAAAGCTCTGTCTGTGTGTGTGCGCTTCTGTGCGTGTCAATGCGTGAATATGTTGTCACTTTGTACGCAGGCTACCGGGAACTGCAGGTTGGGAAAATGTACGATGTCCAGATAGGGAGGATGCAGTTCTGGGACAATAACTCCAGGAACAAAAGAAAAACCGGGAAAAAAAAGAAAAAACAACTGCACACACACAGAATCCAAACCACAACTACCCTGTCGCACCATTTCCTGACGGTCAGTTCACTTACTGCGGCGACTAATCAATCAATCGCTAAACGAACCGACGACTGTCAGTACACAATTCACTGACGGCTGATGATTACACTGATATATAGGCCATTCAGAGATGGCCAATATCTACAACCATAATCAATCGTTGGGAAAGTCGATTTCCACGACGAGGTCGTAAAAGAAAACGAAAAAAAAGAAAGGGGTACAATACGGATCTTCTATCGCTTAGCAAATTTACTTCCGCCTGTGGACTTCTCTCCTCTCGCTCCTGTCTCCTGACCCTGCCACCAGTACCTTGCCTTCCTCTAATGGCGCTTAAAACGCGCTTGGAACTGTACGCGCACAAAAAGAACACAAACAAAAACCATGGGTATCATCAGACGTCGAGAGCAGCAGAGAGCAAGCAACCCCCTCTCACCGAGGACACCCCCTCTTACCAAGGACACCCCCTCTCTCACCGAGGACAGAGCTGCTGTTCAGCAACCTTTCTTTTCTTTCCTGCGTTTTGCACCTACATTTTTTTATTTTTTTATTTTTTTTCTGATCAATCTCTCGGAAACAAACTAGAGGCTGGTTCCACCGCTACTTACGCCTCTTCCGTCTTCCTCCTCTTCTTCGCCTTCTCCTCCTCCCTAGCCCCTCCGCGGCTCCAGATATGCCTTCCTCGCATAACGCGCATGCTCCAACCCCGCCCCCGCGCCCCCTTTCTTCCCCCAGGCCGGCATCTTCTTGATCTTGATCCTCTCCCTTTCTCCACCTCTTCGTTCCTCGTCTTACCTCTTCTTCCTGCTGCACCTCTTTTTCCCTCCTGTTCCTCCTCCCTCCTGCTCAACCTCCTCCTCCTCCTCTTCCTGCTCTTTCTTCTTCCTCTTTCTCCCTGTCCCGCTTTCCCCCCCTCCTGTCTGGCGCACAACACGACGAAACCACTTGCCCTTGCAATCTCTCCTCCGATTTTCTTCTTCTGCTTCTTCTCCGCCGTCCTTTTGAATCTCTTTGTTCTCTTTTTGGAAATGAAAAACGACTTCCCCTCCTATCTCAATCTGCCTGTCACCAGTTCCTTTTTCCGTGGCTCCCTCTGTACCAGTACCCTCTTCCCCTCTTCGATGTCTCTTCCCCACCCCCAAGGTATGCATATGCTCATAGCTACGTACCTGATACTACCTGATACTACTGTCAAGCTCTTTCAATCCTGCGCCCCGCCGCCATGGGACGACTATACTTCATGGAACATTGTTGCGTCTGATAGTTTAGTTTAGCGCAGTGTCTCGTTGTGGTGTGAACGCGAGAAGCTAAGAAGCTGGGTGATGACGCTGGCAGTGGCGCAGCTGCCCGGGGAAACTACCGTCATTTTGGATGCACCGGACCCGAAATATAGCTTGTGTGCAGTCGTCGTTATCAGAGGGGCGAAGACGGTAGTACCATGTTCTCAGATTCTTTTCTTTCTTTTCTTTGTTCTCTTCCTTTCTTCCCCCCGCCAAGGCCACCCCCCCCCCCCCCCCCCCCCCCCCCCCCCCCCCCCCCCCCCTCCCCCGCCCCAATCCAGCAATTGCTCACCCTTTCTGTTTTTGCGCCGTTGATTATTGCTCCCTTCTATTGGAGGGGAAACACGTGCTGGGAACCGGGTCCAGCGGGCCTTACGTCATCGAATTGCGCGTTTTCTTTTTCTTTTTTCTTTTACTTTCTCAGATTCCTCGTCCGTTGCCAAGTAGGAGAAGAGCACCAATAGCTGCTGCTGCAGTTGGATTATGGAGCACAAGACAAGATGCTTGGGTGGAAAGGAGAGAGGGCTGGACAATTGAGGCGTAGTAACTGAGGGCGGACTCACACTGGGACTTTTTTCTACCGAGCTCTGGCCTTGATTGCGGCCAAATTCATCCAGCTCGGGCCGTAATTGCAGTCAGGTACGTTTAGGAAAGTGCTAGTCTGAGTATGCCCTGAAGAGTATGGAGTCAGATGGGAGACAACACTCGGATGACGCGTATCAGGACCATATTGTCTTCCAGATTAGGTCATATGTGATACGTCATCCGGATTCGAAGTATCGGACGGACCCCTTCTTTTTTTTCTTTTTTTTTTTACATTGCCCGGACCCATCTTTCCACCCGTTGCGTGAAGATGCACTCCCCATTTACATTTACATTTCTTGAGGAGTCTGGCGAGGCCCTTAAGGGGGGAGAGTGGTATAGTGGTGGGGGTAGGTTGAACGTGCGCAACTGGGCCTAGCTCAGTTAGGGCCAGATCCCACTGGCAAAGACGATTGGAATAAGTGTATGAATCTGGACGTGTTCACGCAGAGATGCAGAAATCCAGATCAATCACAGTTTATTGTACCTATCGACAAACACGTCCAGATTCAGACACTTATTCCAATCCTCTTTGCCACAGTGGGATCTGGCCCTTAGTATACCCACCTGTGTTCGAGTCCCGTAGGGTGATCCTCGGTCAGTACGAGGATGATATCTCAAGGCCGTCCCCCTCTCCCAAAAAAAGGTAAAAAGAAGTAGAAGTGGTATGACCCTCAGGCAGACACGGTATGGCGCGCACACAGACATGTTCGCAAGAAGCAACACCACAAGACGAAAAGGAATGTTCAAAAGAATCTTCATAGCGCATGCTGGGCGGATGGACGGCCTCCGTGGGCCGCTTTTTTGTTTTCCCATTATTTTCCTCTTCTTTTTTTTCTTTTTCTTTTTCAGGAAATTTTCCTCTTCTTCAAATCCCTTTTTCTTTTTTTTAATTGCCTTCTCTCTCTCTCTCTTTTTTTTTTTGTGTGTGTGTGTGTGTGTTTGTGGCCAGAGTGTACAGGCACTCCGCCTTTTTTTTTTTTTTTTTTTTTTTTTTGCAGCCAGAGTGTCCAGGCACTCCGGCCTGGTTCATACAATGGCCACTTTTGAATTATAAAAGCCCGAAAAAGGGTCCCGGGTCCCTCATGCACAGGTCTAGTCCAAATAAAATAGAGAATTTTCATACCTTTGATGATGCCAGATCTAATAGGAGAGTCGCCGTGTTGGCGGCCCCAGGCCCACACGCCGTGGGAAGATAGAGGGTGGGTGGGACCGCTTCGCCAAAATTGGCGAAGGAGAATGACTCTCCTCAGCCCAGCTGACAGAAGTGACTGTGTGATTGCAGATTTGCGGAAGGCTCAGCGCTGCTGGCGGACGGTCAACCGAGGGAGGTTCGAGGGAAGTCCAGCAGATTCAGCAAGTTCTGCAGCCTGCCTCCACTGCGGCGCTGCCTGTAACTTATACCATCGCGGGCGGAGGGAGTAATCCCATACGGGCCAGCGACGTCCAGATGCATCCTGGGTAAGTTCCTTGGTCCTTTGTCCTGATCCAGTTGCCGCAATCTCGGTCCTGATCCAGTTGCCTCAGTCGTAGGTCCCAAAAAAACAACCTCCTCCTCGTGGTTGTTGATCCCGATCGGAATGCCCTGCAGTCCTTGGTCCAGACCGAACTCCTACTCCAACTGAGTGCTGCGAATAATGCTCATACCTTGGTCCAGATACACCGTCGGTAGTATTGAATGTGAATGTGAACCGTAGATCTTGAGAATCCGCGGCTGTGAAGAAGTGTTGCCGAGTAGTAGCATGTGAGGAAACGATTCTGTTACCGAAACGACTCAGTAACTGCCGGCGTCCACTGCTGGTGACCAAGGTAAGGAAAGGCCAACTGTGACAAGTGGTAGGACGATTGCTGCACAGGTCTAGTCCAAATAAAATACAGAATTTTCATACCTTTGATGATGCCAGATCGAATAGGAGAGTCGCGGAGTTGGGGGCCGCAGGCCCACACAAACGACTCAGTAACTGCCAACGTCCACTACTGGTGACCAAGGTAAGGAAAGGCCAACTGTGACAAGTGGTAGGACAATTGCTGCACAGGTCTAGTCCAAATAAAATACAGAATTTTCTTACCTTTGATGATGCTAGATCGAATAGGAGAGTCGCGGAGTTGGGAGCCGCAAGGCCCACACAAACGACTCAGTAACTGCCGGGGTCCACTGCTGGTGACCAAGGTAAGGAAAGGCCAACTGTGACAAGTGGTAGGACAATTGCTGCACAGGTCTAGTCCAAATAAAATACGGAATTTTCATACCTTTGATGATGTTAGATCGAGTAGGAGAGTCGCAGAGTTGGGGGCCGCAGGCCTACACACCTCCTGAACCATCCCATCTCCCTCATCATCCCGCAAGTGACGTGGTCGTCTTGTAGGGAATGGTGGAATGAGCACATGAGCGATGGAAGCTGGCGACAAAAGAGAAGCACTCTGGAGCATGAAGGACACTACGAGAGCGGGTTGGAGTGATGCAACAATGTAATTGATGAGTTTGGGTGTGGGCGGCGATGGCGCAATGGAATGCGGAAATTGTTACTTGGGTTGAATAAGTGGTTAGAGATAAATAATATTGGGCAAGATTGCATGCGATACATTGATCTGGATATTTTATCCTTTTTAAGCAGTCAGTGGTTGATAGAGGTGGAAGGGCAGTGTCAAACCGCAGATTTGGAGTGAACTCCTATTGTATCTCCTTCCACTGTTGATGCTGTCATAAATTGCTTGAGCAACAACTTTCGATTGTTATGGAGGGAGAGTGATGACCCTTGTCAAAGTAGTCGAATAAAGGCATTTCGAAAAGCGTATCGAGAGTATGCACTGCATAGGGGAGTGGCGGAGGAGTCGGCACGACCATTGCGATGAGAGAAATTAGGGATTGTTATACAGTATATCAGAAATAAAATTTTAATATTAAAGGGAGTGGCGGAAGCCGAGGCATACATGGATGTTGCAATCTTTCTTTATTTATGGGATAGTTGACAGTGGTGCGGAGAGGGATTGCGTTTACAATATTTGGAAATCAACATAGGGGAGAGGACAGTGAGACCTGAACATACAAAAACTGATCGGCAAGGTGGAAGATTCTTGATAAGATTGCGCGAGCCTATAGAGGGGTGGAAAGGAGAGAGGAAGAGAGGTAGAAGACGAGGTCTTCTGGCCATCTCGAAAGGGAGATAGCAGGATGGGAAAGGGCGCAGGGTTGAAAAGAGGAATGTCGGAGGGAAAGGGGACACAAACAGACATGGGTAGCGTCACTTTTCTCACCTCGTCAAGCAGGCAGCCGGCCATCCCTGCCAACGGAGTGTGTGAGATGCTCAACTTTTGAAGGCAACCAAGAATAGCCAGGATTCTGCAAAGGTAAAAATTCTCACAGCTCATAGGGTTGACCTAGCAAGCTGACTTTTCATATTTACTTGAGGCTATATCCGACTGGTGTGCATATGATACGGTATAGTACAAACTAACTTGCAACACTTTTTCTCTTTCCTTTTTTATACTTAAATGAGGGTCGGGTTGTTTCACGTGAATTTAAGTTGTTGTTCCGTAATAATTTTCTCCCTGTCCTTCTTCTGGCTCGGGTATTTAACCGCAACGATGGCTGCATTGACATCAAAACCAGGCCCCACCCCCCAGGGGCAACCAGAACACCAATCGAACGGATTAGGAATATTATAGAAAAATGTTACCTCGAAGGAATTATTTCGGCGAACCTGACAACTGGTTCGGTGGAGCGTGGGGAGAATTTTGTACGCGTGACAGTGGATAAGGAAATCTATCGGATTCAGGAAGAATGGCTACGCGAACATGCAGTATCCATCTTCTTGGGAAATGATGCTTCATCCCTGCCGGGTGAAGTAAAAAGTGGGTTAGTACGGATCTATGAAGAAGGATGGGCTAATGGACTGGAAATAAATGTCACCGCTAAGAGAGGATTAATGCATAATAAAGGACGAAACCTAGTCACGTATGTCGCTTCTTCCAAAAAAATTGTTGCATGGATGTTGATGAAAAAACAGTCTAAGGTGGAAATGGACGGGAAAACCTACGTGGTCAACTTTCGCCCATGGATGACAGAGTTAGAACTATATGAGCGGCGTAAGGCGATGACGTATCAGTTTTTTTGGATTAGGTGTTAAAATGTCCCGGTTGGGGTTGTCCTTCATGTTGCAGCAGCAGTTAAGCTGGCGTTTGGTTTCGTACTAAAGGCCTATCCGGCCTACTCAGACCCCCTCTCACCGGACCTACGTAACATAAGGATCGACCTGGAACCAATTGCCAAAACCCGACTCAAAAGGTGGTTGGTAATGAACCTTGATACATGGCGCTATGTAGATATCGAAGTGGTATGCGCATCCACCCCATGGTGCAAGAAATGCAGGGTACACTG